TTTTTCCCCTTTTTTTTTTTTTTTTTTTTTTTTTTTTTTGAGGAATTCTGCCAAATTATAGTGGATTTTAGGACAAAACAAGTGATAAAATTACATAGTTGCACTTATAGCCTATGTCAACGAGGAATTTTCACTAACAAAAAGAACAAGATTACCAAAGTGTTTAAACTCTCTCAAAACCTAAACTTCAAAATCAATTCGAGTTGATACATGATTTCATATGAAAATTTTTAACTATAACAAAAAAAATTAAATGTAATTTTTTATAAAAATTTTTAATTATTAAAAAATTAAAATTAAAATCTCAAATTAATAAAATGAAGAGCAAAATAAACTCAAAATACTCCCACAAAAGCAACAAAGAGAACATAGAAAAACTATACTCTCACGCACCCACTTGTGCTCACAAATTTGGGATTGCCGAAATACATTGCAAAGCAACCATTGTAAACAAGTAATTATTCTTGGTCAATAAGTATATGGGCAGCTTGGGCAAGAACTTGGGCAACAAGTAGAGACACTTGTCAAAAGAATTAAAGCTATGGGAGCTCTTGACGTGGCGCCCATGTGGATGCTTACTTGGGACTTTGACATTTGAATATTACGAATTTTCTATTTACCATGGGACCCACAAATAATAAAAAAAATTAAAAAATTCCTTTCATCTGGTCTGCAGTCAACAAAATATCTCTATTAAACCGTAAAATTGAAAGAAACATATAAGGCTACGAGTTAACTTAAACGCAACAAAGGCATCTTGTTAAAGTTTACAATCATAAACATCAGCATAAATCATTATTTTGAAGCTTGAATCAATTCAATTAAATTTATCTACAACATTTAATTATCTTTACAAATCTGAAATACAGTATGGTGAAGGTTCACAATTATAAAAGTTTTCCTTTTTCCATCAAAAGTATAGAATTTTCCTTTACTAGCAGAAATGGATCAAGAAGTGGAAGCAGAAGCTGAAGAGGTTGGGGGCAAACGGAGTACTTGTTGCAGTAATCTTGCCGCGAGACGTCGAGTTATGCCACCAATCACGCGCCCCCCCAGGTCACGCGCCTCGGGTTGTTGAAGCACCTATACATGTTACAATCCACAAGTCAGAGAGATATCACGTAACTAGTAATTTTAACTAATCACAAACCCGCAGATGCCAAATCCATTTACGAAGTAGAAACATTTGAATGGAGAGTTCCGATTGGGTCATAAAAACCTCATAATAGAGAAAGCAACTACACTAGAGCCCTTCTGTTGTGTGTTGGGGAGAGGGAAGAAACGGGGCATCAGTGCCCTTCTTATACAGAGAAAGCAATCTCAAAAAGAGGAGCGGGGTAACACGCGGTTGAAGAATTTGGCAAAGAAGAAAAGCTTTGAGTTCAACAGCAAACAAAAGAAGACAACCAGGTCCCTCTCCATGGATGGTTTTATTTGTTCTAATGGCTTTAAACTTATCCATGTTATGAAACCCAATTTGATCAAAATAGTTCATTGGATTAACTTCCTTCACGCGATCTTAAATGTTTATGGTTCTTTCTTCAAAAAGATAATTACATTGAGATTTCTTTCATCATCTAAATCAAATATTTTTTACAGTTAGAATGCTTAGGAAATGGTGTTTTGTTAAGTGAAGGAGGACTTATCTAAGATTTGTTTTGTCAGAGCTTAATTGTTAAATTTGAAAGATGATAATAGATTGATTTCAACTTTTCCCTTCTTTTTCATAGCGTATAGAATGCACTGTTCATGGATCGGGGTTAGCTCATTTGGTCGCGAATAAAAGATGTTTCTTAACCACAACAAAAAGAATAATGGTGCAATTAACAGCGATACTTACTTGTAGAATGGGCTGCAAAGTGGTGGGATCAAAATTTTCAGAGGATTGGAGAAGTTGCCATATTCTGGAGACACGATTTCTAAGCTCTATCATTCTTTGCTGTTCAGTATTACTCATGACAAGAGGCCCAGACGAGTTCCCATTTCCATTGAAAATTAGACTTCTCACCATATCGGGCATGGAACTGTATGCATCAATAACCGAGCCTAAAACGAAAGCTTCCGTAACACGCACAGCCTCTTTAATAACCAAAACTCGAAGCTCTTCACCATCTGGACCTAATAACAACTTCAAAACTGGCTGTAAAGCGTCTTTTGCAGAAAAATCTCTATCTTTTCTTCCCTCAACAAGCAAGTTTTCAAGTCTATTCCACCTGCAGCAAATTCAAACTGGTGAGTGACAGCTATGACCCAGTTAATTTTAACAACAGAAATAAAACGTTGCAATGAGATAAGACATGGACTTAACCACGCTCTAATCGAAAAAGAATAACTTTAAATTCCTAATAACCCATATCTTGTTCCTCATCATTTTCATACCTAAACTTCCCGTCCTTAAAAAGCAACTCAATAAGAGCATCTCTGAGATATGGACTCGAATCTGTTAGGAGCCTTTTAGCGAAATAAGGGTATGACGCGGCCAGAACCTTGAAATTGGGGTCAGCGTAAAGAGCTAAGCCTTCAAGCACAGTTAGTGACCTCAATATCAACGCGTAATAAGCAGGAACTGCAAGAAGAAGAAGATAATTAAAAAGTAGATTATTAGACTTTAAGCCAGAACGAATATTGGATTTTAAGGTCACTAAAAGAATTGGTATAACTATAAAGGTCTCGTCTTACCGTTAAACGGGTATTGGTAGAGGACATTACCGAGACCATCAACCAACGTCTTAAAATTGAGTTCGCTCACGGTATAATTTAGTGCGTCATCGAAGAAATCCCGCAATGCAGGTACGATTGGACTGACATCTACGTCAGGGGACAAGAAATCTAGAGCGTAGTAATCACGAGCCATAGCTTCGTAATCCCGATTAACCATGTGAACAACATGACCAATAATTGCAGATCTCGCTTCTTCTGGGGTTTCACTCATCATTCCAAAATCAAGAAATGCAAGCTTGCCGTCGGGCGTCGCTAAGAGATTACCGGGATGAGGATCTGCGTGGAAATATCCATACTCAAGTAGCTGTCTCAGGCTGCATTGTATGCCGGTGTTCACTAGATCCAACACCTTCAGACCCTGCTTCTCAATGGCAACTTGCTCGTTTAATTTGACCCCGTCAACCCACTCCATCGTCAAGACTTTGGTGCCCGTGTAGTCCCAGAAGATGTCAGGAACAAGGATGTCCTCTCTATCCGCATACAACTTCCTAAATCTCCGGGCATTTTGCGCCTCCTGCAGCAGTCACCTGTCAAAATTAACATCAAATCTTTTGGAAGAATCATCTCGTGCAAAAATCATAAGCAGCAGTAGGCGAGATCAAAAGAATTTAGGACCTGGACATAATTGAGCTCTTGGTAGACTCTGGAAGCGAATTCATCAATAAGGGCAACAACATCACTGGATATGATGTCAACATATTTGTTGATGAGGAAGCCTAGGCCTCTAATGAGGTAGAAGTCAAGTCCAATAGCCTCTTCAATTGCGGGGCGTTGCACTTTGACGGCGACAACCTGGCCAGAGTACTTGAGTTGAGCTTTGTAAACTTGGCCGAGGCTGGCGGCCGCGATGGGGGAGGCGGAGATGGAGGAGAAAATGGAGTCGAGTGAGAGTCCCAACTCCCTTTCGATGCACGAAAATGCTTCTTCATCTGGGAATGTGGGCAAAGCATCCTGGTAGTCATCATATTACCATGTTAGTTGTTATCAAAGATGAAAAGACTTGTTGAGCATTATCATTGATTGGATTTGGAAGGAAATGTGGTAAATTGGCTCAAGTTAATTAGCATTCAAAAAGTAGGCAAATATCATTCAAGAAAGAATTCCCCATTATCCATAAAAGCAAAGCAATTAGGCAGTGAATGAAGATTCATAATTAATAAGTTTTGAACACATTGAATATTGATCATTCTGAAAAGGAAAAGGAAAAGAAAATTCCCTGACTTGGAGTTGGGAGAGCTCCTCGAGATACTCGGGAGGGCAGAGGTCGGGGCGGGTGGAGAGGCCCTGACCCAATTTGACGAAAGTGGGGCCCAGACGAGTGAAGATCCGACGGAGCTGGGCAGCTCTGAAGCGCTTGTTACGATCCAAATCACCTCTGCTCCGATCCAAACCCAGACTCACTCCGAAACTCCCCAGCGCTATCACTATCTCCACGGCCCTACGCACTGCCTGTGAGAAAAATCTAAATTATTGATTCCTTTTCTTTCTTTCCTACTAATAATAATGATAATAAACTAGTTAATCAGTAATTAATCAAATTTTTTAAATAAAAAAAAAAGCAGCATTATTTAGAAGCTTTAAGCTTGCCTTGAGAGGAGAGGAGCCGTATTTGGAGGCGAGCAGCTGAGGGCTGTAGACGGAGGCGTTGACGGCGCGTTCCATCGCTCTCACCTCCGCCTGCAGATCCTCCGTCCGTTCTCTTTGTCTCTGACTCTGTCTTTGTCTTGACTCTAAAACCAAAGGAGCAGGAGAAGAAGAAGACGACGAAGACGAAGACGGAGGTGGAGGTGGTGTGGCCTCCACGATGGCCGCTCTCACTAGTTGACTCCGCCGCCGCCCCCATCGCCGTCGTGAAGAACTACAACCACTACTACTACTGGATGCCTCTGAAAACCTCCGTGTCGGAGTCGGAGTAGGAGGTATCCTCGCCACCACCGCCATCGCGCTCATCCTTTTCCTTTTTCCTTTAATTTCTTTTTTCCCACGAAATCAAATCAATTCAACAGCACAACCAAATGTTTTTAATTTATTTTAACCATTCAAAAAGAAATATTTTTTTTTTTATTTTGATCCCAGTTAAGTTTGAAAGGATTCGGTGTATCGTGCATAGAGTAGGCCTAATTCAAACCTCCTCATAATAATTCTCAAAGTAAAATAATTTTTTTTACAAAAAATTTCGCAGTTTCATGAATATCGTACGGCTTAAAATAATATTTTCTCCATTGATAAGATATTTTCTTCAAAGCCTTGCTAGAAAAATTATCCCCTTTTTTGTTTTTGTTTTTTCTATTTTCCTGGCCGTTGCTCTACTACTTTGGCAATTCGCGATTAAAATCCTACGCCATCCAATTGTAGCCACAAAAAGAGCCTGCAACTATCTGCGTGCCGTGTTTCGCAATGCAATTTTCCTTTATTATTTTTTAATTTAATTTTACTTCTCTCGTTCTCTTTTATTGTTTGTCAATTTGTTCAAAAGGATTCTTTTTTCCTTTGAATTAAGGAGTGTTTGTCAAATCTCCATAATACTCATAATACCCATAATTAAATTTAAAATTTATAATCTTTTTAATTTAAAATTCAAACTCATAACATAATATAATATAATATAATATAATATAATATTATAACAAATAATATCATAATTATATTAATAATAACTCCAATAATATTATTTTATCATATAATATGATATTATAATAACATTATAATTATTTTAATAATATGATATTGTAATTATTAATTTAATCTTATAATTATAATATATTTGTTTAATATAATATAATAATGATTATATAATATATTATATTATATTATATTATAATATAGTTGTAATTTTTAATTATATTATAACTGAAATATTAATATTTCTTATGTATTATTATAATATGTTTTATAATATTGTAATTATATTAACCATTTTAATAATATTATTATATTCTACATCATAGTTATATAATATGTTATTTAATAATAGTTTTATTGTATTATATTAAATATAATAATAAATATATATTATATTGTAATTATATATATTATATTATAGTATAATATAATATAATCGTTATTTTAATTATTTAAGTTATTATTTTAATAATATTATTATATTTTATATCAAAATTATATAATATTTTATATAATAATAATTTTTTGTATTATATTAAATATAATAATAAATATATATTATATTATAATTATATATATTATATTATAATATAATATAGTTGTAATTTTTAACTATCCATAACAATTCAATATCATAATTTACCAAACGTTATTATACTGATTTTAGAACCACACAGCTACTATAATTATACTTTACCAAACACTCAGCTACTTTTTGTAACAACTGCTTCTTCCTTCAGCACAGCTAAAAGTAATTTTTTTCAAAATCTATAGTACTACCAAACTAAGCCTTCATCATGTCAAGAAAATTCTATAGCAACATTTTTTACTTTCTTTTTCAATCCACAAAAATTGGCACGTACATATACCCTGTTTAGATTTTTTTATTCGTTCCTTGATTTCGTACATTCAAATTAGGGTATGTAATTTTAGATACGACACGATAAAACGATACAAAAATAGTATGAGATAAATAAGTTTAGACCTCACGATTATTAATTTGATCGTTAACAGGCTAGCACGAACAACACAAAAATAAATGGGCTGGATATGTGTCAACCCGTTTAATATGCTTAACTCGTTTAGTTATACTGGCTGTTAACGGGCCAACACGACACGGCACAGTCCACCCGTTTATAACCCATATACAAAAATAAAAACTTATACAAAATTAAAAAATTATTTGAAACTTAAATAGCCGGCCCTAATTGCTAATTCTCAGTTTCTCACTTATTTCCTCCGAAGTCCTAACCCTAGCCGCTCACTTTTCTCCCCTGCCTTTTGCCTGCCCTAATTATCAATTTCTCACTCACTTTTCTACGTTCTCCTTTGTCTCTCCTCTTAGATCAGAATCTCTTCTCTCAACCTTAAAGAATACATTTTTTTATATTTATTTTATGTTTTATGCATTTCAACATTTAAATGTTTGGTTATGTTTTCAAACTCATTTAGATGTACTATGTTATGTTTTCAAACTCATTTAGATGTACTCTGTTATGTTTTTAAATTTTTTTAGATATTTGGTAATTGTTCATGTTTTGAAATATATATATATATGATAATCTAGTAGTATCATATATATATATATATATATATATATATATATGTATTTGATATTTAAATATTTTTATGTGTGTTGGTTATTATAGAGAATTGGATGATTTATGTTTTTCTTATTATATGCTCGCCAGATTTTAACTATAAGTAATATTAAGAAGTCAATTAATATTAGTTTTAAATACAATATAAAATTTTACTATTTTTGCTAGTTGGGTCATAAACATGTTTCTTTCGTGTCGACCCGTCACGGCCCGTTTAGTGACTTGTTCGTGTATCGTGTCGTGTTAACCGCGTTAATAGCGTTTTGTGTACGTGTTTGGGTTTCTGACGTGACCCTTTATTTGTGTAAGTTGTAAATCAGTTACCTACTCGACTATAAAATATGTTGCGTAGTTAAAAAGGAGTCGCAATTAACTTCTAATCTAGTAACATGCATAAAGTTATTTTTTCCCCCTCTTTTCTACCTCTATTATTATTTAACCTTTAAAATGTCATAATTTTTTCGTTTCAATTTTAATTGGGGTGATTCTTTTTCATATGTGCATTCAAAAAAAAAAAAGAACAAATCAAGATCCATACAATCTAAGTAGTTTGTCATGATTATCAAGTTTTTGTAAGATTTGTATCCTCGCACTAAATTTTTTAAGCACTTGTTCAGTTCATGGGTTTAAGTCAATGATGCCATTTCTGCACAAACGGTTAAGGATAAGTGGTCGACGGGACATCGTTCCAAAAAGAGAAATTAAGGCAGAGAACCTAGAATATACCCTCTGCGTTTAGATCAAAAAATTCTTGAACACGGTGAGGGTTCAAAGGGTCGGGGAGTTCGATGATCAGCCTAGCCTCCCTCAAGTTATCCTCAGTTAGAAGGACATTGATATGGCGATAACCCTCTGGGAAGGCGAAGGCGTCATCGACCCTCTTCCTTCTCTCCCCGGCTAGCTTCGGATGATTGTGGCTAACTGCATGACAAAGTGAGTATCAGCATTTAAGAGAATGAAAAGGAGGAGAGTAAGTTTTCTTGGTTCTCACTCAGGTTTCCAAAGGACATTTGCACCTTTCTGCAGTGGGGTCAGCGGTCTGCAGGATGGAAGTTAAATGGCCCTCTAACCATGAAGAACATGGGTTTCCAGCCATGAGAAAAAGAGGGGATCCTGATGACGGGTATTTCTACCAACAAATCAAGTACTTTCAAGCATTTTTGTTAGTTTAATGTCTTTTGTTTGCTTTTATAGGAATTATAAATAAATGCGAACTTGGATGATTTTGCATGAAGAAAAGAAGAATACTTGCCCAACTTGTGAATCAATGCCAAGAGGAGGCGAAAGAGGATTTTAAGGCACAAAAGAGGAGGCTTTGGAATGCAAGAAAGCGGGCTAGAGCAAAAGTAAGCGAAGTCAGAATGGGACGTGCGCCCGCGCCCGAGCCAGCTGCGCGCCCGCGCCCCACATCCAGGGGCGCGGCCGCGCGTGCCCCACACCAAGGCGCGCATCCAGAGTGGGAACGTACGCTGCAGCGCGCCCAGATGGTTGCCCCGCGCGCTACAGCGCGTCAAAAGGCGCTGCAGCGCGCCCCAACCCGTAACAGCGGGATCATTTTCCAAAAACGCGTGTCGCAGCGCGTTTTCACGCAGGCTGCAGCGCGCGTATGAAGCCCTAGCTCTGAAATGTTGTAATATAAAAGGAAAGAGATGCCATTTGAGAAGGAGAGCCCAGAAATCTGAAGAAAACATCAAAAGGAGGCTGAAATCCTTCATCTTGGAGGTCCTTGGAAGCTCTTCAATGTATATTGGGTTTTATCTTCTTTCATCTATTTTTCCATGTTGAGCTAGACATTAAATCTAGGACTTGATGTAGTTTTATTTGAACTATGTTTTGAATATTTTGTTGATTGTTAATTTAATTTCATTTTCAATTCATTTATGTTTCTCTATGCTTAATGCTTCTAATTTATTTGGCCGATGAGTTAGATGATTTTTAGATTGCGAATTTGATGCTCGAGAGAGATTGATTTCTTTATCTAGATTTGAGAAACATAGTCTAGGTTGTTGTGAGACCGAGAGGAGATCAACGGTTAGATAATCAAATTAGGATTTAGGTTGTTGTGAGGCTGAGAGGCGATCAATATTCCTATTTTCTAATTATAAAGGCGAAGCTTAATTTGTGTTTTAATATTCATTTCGAATAGGGATATTGGGTCAAAACAACATTTTCGGACAAAACATGGTCAAACCCCCGTGTACACCGGTCGACCGGTGACAGAGGTGTGCATCACCACCGGTCGGCCGGTGGTGTGTAAATCGGTCGACCGCATAGGTCAACCGGTGGAGAACAGCCATGCGAGAAAACTCACCGAATGAGTCTGAAAACCTGCAAATTTGAGTTTAATCTGAGATTTTTTAAAGGGAAATCTTCATATCCAGGTTCCAAATGACAAATACAATCCAAAGAACTAAAAATCCCCAATTTTCACCATGGTTTCACCCAAAATCCATCAAAATCCATTTTGAACAAAAATAGGTTTTTCCTAATAGACAAATATGAGATTCAAGAGAAGTTTTTCAGAAATCTTACCTCAAATCCTTCTCTTGACGTTAAAAACTTCTTGAAATCCCTCTTTGGTTCAAGATTTGGTTGATTGGAGACAAAAATGGGAGAGAGAAAGAGAGTGAGAGAACGAGAGTGAGAGGGAGAGAGTGTGAGAGTGAGAACAACAGAGAGAGTGTGTTGCACAGGAAAAGAAAAGAAAAGGAAGAAAAAGAAAAAAGAAAAAGACAGGTGTCAAAATATTTAAAAGACAGTCCAAAAAATATGTCTACACACACTTCTGGGGTAAAAATATAATTACTGAAAATATTTAAATTTACACGTCAGAAACATTTAATAAACAATAATTATTAATTAAACTAGATTAGGCACACTAATAAATCTTAATTACCTTAATTAATCTCGTTTAATTTCTCGAGGTGTTACAAACATAGTCACTGTCAGTAAAGCCAACTAAATCTGCCATTTCTCCCTTCTGGTAGAATAGCCCAAAATTAGTTGTACCTTGCAAGTACCAAAAAATTCTCTTTACAGCAAGAAGATGTATCTCCCTTGGGCATTCCATATACC